CTGGTAGCCATGTCGCTAATAGTTTACCCAAATACCGACTGATTTACTTTTTGTTCAGTTTTGGCTAATTTCTGTACCATATTTAAGCTCACACGTTAATAAAGATTCATTCATTTCTTCCTTCCTTCCTTCCTTCATTCATTCATTCATTCATTCATTCGTTCCTATTGGCACAATTAACCACCTCGAGACATTCTTATCAAACCGTAACTTGTAGTTGTATTTTCTTACAACAAGAGTATGTACATGTGTACGTGACCTGGTAGAAAATACCGAGTCACTAACTCGGTCTTATACAACCCTCCTACTCTACGATACAAACAGCTAATTTCTACCTGTAGCCGAATAGATGCTTTTTCGAGGTAATCCAGTATCATACACATGTAACATACATAGATACAGGCGTGACATTTATATTGTACATTGAACTGTACTTTCAATGTTATATATACAGTGGTAACGTGAACGAGCTATAGCTTTGTGATCTATATCTTATATGAGCTAGCATGCATTCTGTGCTCTCTATTGTATCTCTATTATATATACAGGATCATATATCCAGTATCACGACCATATTGGTCATGTTACAGATAGTTTTTATAGTTCTGATATCTTTAAAAATATCGTGATGGATATGGATATATACATTGTGCAATTGTCCCAACAAAAAAATCACGTCACTTCTGTACTGGGTAGATACTGGTCAACGCCACTACAACAAACGTTGGATTTACCTATGGTAGTAAATGCCAGTAAACAATGGCAGTAGATAAAACTGTTGTTAAGTCCGAAATTACCTGACTTGACTTTTATTTACTACCATTTTCTAGCCAGGCTCTGTTTACGACGTTAATTGCTGGATTTTACTACCGTTGATAAATCCAACTTTTCGTGCAGTGCACTAGTTGACTTGATGCATGAAAGACTTGGATTATTGCTTCAAAGTAAACATTCTCTTATGCTCATCGATGTGAACTATGGAAGGAGTAAGAGAATATTTTATATTCTTACAATGTACAATATAGGGGAAGGACAGGATATATAGACATCTATTTCTGGTCAAAACATCGGTTAACACAATCGAACACACAGGAGAATTTTGCTGTGAACTGGCCTTAGAAATAGCAGTACTGCCATCATAGTCTTGAACATGGTACCAGACCCCTAACTTAGCCTTAGTTTTTACATCAGTGATCATCCAAATCAATGCGCTAATGTGTCCCTATACCAGCCTCAAGCATCCACGAATGGTTTCTTTGTTTTTAGTATAACCCTACTGATCTTCTATGAAAAGTGTCACCCTTACCATACCAAACTGTGAAGAAAAATATTCGAGTAAAGTATTAAATAAGTATGAAATGCGAGGCCAGGTTTATGAGGAAGCTCGTACTGTTTGTGGTATACACTCTTTCCATCCGCAAACGTCGTCAAAAATCGTCGGTGTGGCCTGACCACTTTTCCTGTACACCTAACAGACCGCGTGTGTATCATAAACATCTCCTACTCTAGCGCTGCAAAATGGATTCAGTCTCGACCTTCACCTCTGCGGAAGCGAAGTTTGCAACTTGAGGAGACAAAGTCAAGTCGCAAAAATTACTACCTTCTCAGGGTTTCTGCACATTCCAGGTGATAAAGATTAAAACTCGTGTGTGTCATTTTTCCTGGTCTCGATAACTACTTGTTGTATACCCGGGCCCTGAAACCATCCCTGAATAGAGACGGGAGAAGCCACAGACTATCTGTCACATTTGACGTACTGCACGGAGTCACGTGTCCCTAATCTGCATAAAATGACGTCACAGAAGCGGTGGAATGATCCATTCCTTGACAAAGACAGGTGCGATATTGGCGGAAATTTAGATACGTTCACCACCAGTCTTTATAACGACTTCTGCCAACCGAGATGAAGTTTTGGAGCTAACTACGACTTGTTTCTGTTCTTGTGTCAGACTTGTGTCTCCTCCAGAGCGCTGTGCCTGATGCTTCCCGACTGTTCCTCCACCTGCTGAGACGCCGTGGGAGGAGGCTTCCTCTGGAAAGCGAACTTCACTCCCCTCTTCTTCTGGAAAGCAAGGAAAATGGTGACAAAGTTTACGACATCAGGTATGAGAAACTTACAAATCTATAGTGATCTCTCATCTGTACAAAGGTACAATATTAGCAAGCAATTCAATGCAATTCAAGTCAACAAGGTGACCAATTATTTGAGACATACATCATCAAACACCAATCTTTTATTTATAGGAAGATCCTTCTCCAAAGTTTGTCTCTACCTTGCTGGAAAGTTTCCAGGTAGAACACGTGCCCAGTACATAACTCAAGAAAGCCTTAGCTGTTATATGGATTATTGGCGACAGCGTATTGCAAAGCCCAGAATAGGAGAGCCATTTGCCAGAGCTGCGTGAGATAGCTGCTTGCAGGAACGTCTATCTCTCGGTGAGTCATTATCACATTTGGGGTAACACCGTCGGCAAGTCCACCGCCAAACCCATCAAGAAAAGTTATGGCACCTTAGTTACTGCAGCCGCCATTAAATCCACTGCAGTTCTCTTTAGTCCCGCGCCACTAATGGCAACAGTCTGATCCTTCACACAAGCCAGGTTAAAGATACATCGTCCATCATGGCGTCAAGACCAAGCCCCTGGCAGAGCCATTACAGATTCACAAACCTTCTTTTAAACCCCTGCTGTCCGCCCTCAGCATATAGTACGGGCGAAATTCCTAATCTTGTCAAATTACCGCGTTAGCAAGGTCGGTCAGTCAACACGTCCGGCATTTTATATTTAGGGGTGTTTTTTTTCTCTCCACTTGTGAGGTTGGTGGAACTCCTTCCCGTGTTCATAGATGACCATCGTTGTTATGATGAGCCTCCAGGTCCCTATGTGGTCAGTTCCACACCATGCATTATCCTTACGCCCTAAACTGGACACTTAAGTACACCGCGAGGGGACAGCAATGACCATTTCCGTGACGTAAAACATGTAGGAATGGCACCTAATGGACGCACGGTGTGGCTTCCCACACATTTTACGGATCCATTTCCATCCCCGTCCTTTCGATACATTTCGCCTCGGCTATCTATTTCTGCCACCGGGAGATTAAAAGACTTGCATACAGTCTCATTACCGGCAGTTCCCCGCGGAATGTTGACCTCTGTCTGTAAAGACACGGTTCCGGCCTAGGTCTAAACATGGCAGTACATTAGCATCTACATATTAGCTACACAAACACTGCAGGAAATTCTACCTTTACGCACATCTTAAATCATACGTAAAGATAAACGCGAATGGAGAAAAGAAATCTTTACGAACGCTTCAAGGTTTGCGGAAAGAATACATTTTGTGCAGTGAAATGCTTTTTTTCAACACATAACTCTTACTTGCTGCTACCATTGACTCGCTGCATGTAGAAATACAGAGAGGACCGTATATACAAACGTCCCTGTACTTTTGTTACGCCAATAAAGTTTCATGTGAAGAACAGACGTCACTACGAATCTGTAGCCACTAGAGCAGACACTGCAACTAAGTAGTAAATTGTGGTCAACATAAGCCACAATCAAAATCATACCGGGCGTAAAACGAAATGTCATCGGGTCTAAATGTTACGGATAGCCGATCGAGTTCAGCACGAGCAGACGTCAAATTTACGGACGAGATTTGGATACAGCTTTTGACTGATGTTAGATCGGGTTTACTGGTGACAGCTAGTATATGGTTTCCAACTTGCAGTTTTGTTTTGTGGAGGCCATGGCACGGCACCAAGGAAGCAATCTGTTTGGAGAAATTTCTTTTTCCTTCTGTTTCCACGACATAGTTGAGTTTAGAATTATCGCAATGTCAACAGTTAATCAACCAGATATGAATATCTTTTCATTTTTCACGGTTTGCCCTGATTTTTTCACGTGTACTATGAGTTGGATTGGATCTCAGTTGCAAATTTTAGAAAATAATACAAACATAGTGATTGTCTAATAATTGCCACATTCCCTCTTTTGAGTCCAGAAAATATTACGAAAGTTTTCATTTATAACAAATTTGTTTCGTGACACCAGTCAAATATCTTCATTACTTTTCGACTTGATAAAACGGTGAAAAATTGGAAAGAAATTTAGAATTAATATAATCTGACGGCTTGTGACAAAATTCTTTACTTTTGCCGAATTTTCTTGCACCAGTCTTAAGTCTCTGGAGACTCGTGGCCCGCTCCACCATTTGTTGTTTGATGATGCCCGCCGGCCACAATCTATCATACACACCCATTTTCACAGTAAGTGTTTGTTCGGCGATGCATTTTTCTTGTAGTTTTTGCGATCGGTACAGAGATATGGAAGATCTTTCCGGCTTCTTTTGGTGCTTCGCCAAGATACGGATGGAAATGGAAACAAGGGTTCGCGCCCACAGTACCAAGACTGTAAATTTTAGCTCCCTGCGATTTGAAAACTTTGATGTCGTCCATTTTGTCGGTGTTAATTGTCGAATGTGGGGCTACTTTTCCTCATAACAACTATGACATGTACTTCTGACAACGATCCTCAGTAACCTGTCAAACTATCAACTACATTGTCAAATCAAATACATTCTTTCCATGTATATTATGTGCTATCAGTACATACGCGTATGAATCGAACAACCAAACCGTTATGCAGACGCCAGACGTCTAAATAAACTAAATGGTGCGAAACTAAGTAAGAAACTAACATAAAACAAACGAAAGAGTTAAGAAAACTAATTAAATAAAGTAAGACAAAGAATAGAATGAAAAAATAGAATAGAGCTGTAACCAAAAAGTAGAATGAAGCTGCGACCAAAAAAAAGTAGACTGGAGCTGCAACCAGAAAATAGAATAAAGCTGCAACGAAAACACAGAAAGGAACTGCAACCAAAAACAAAAAAATGAAGCTGCAACCAAAAAAATGTAGATTGGTGCTGCAACCAGAAAAATGGAATAAAGCTGCAACGAAAACACAGAAAGGAACTGCAACCAAAAACAAAAAAATAAAGCTGCAACCATAAAAAATGTAGATTGGTGCTGAAACCAGAAAATAGAATAAAGCTGCAACGAAAACACAGAAAGGAACTGCAACCAAAAACAAAAAAATAAAGCTGCAACCAAAACATATATTGGAGCTGCAAAAAAAACATGAAGCCGCAACCAAAAATATACTGGAGCTGCAACCAAAAATAGAATTGAGCTGCAACCAGAAAAATAGAATAAAGCTGCAACCAAAAACAATCGAATGAAGCTGCAACCAAAAAATAGATCGGAGCTGAAACCAAAAACAATTGAATGAAGCTACAACCAAAACATAGATTTCAGCTGCAACAACAACAAAAAAAATAGAATGAAACTGTAACCAACCCGTACCATCCTCCTGTATCTGGACTTCCCCTTCAGTGACATCATGGGATGCCGGTAGCGCCTGCGCTGTGCCTTCTTCTGTTTCAACAGCTCCTGTTGTGCTTTGTACGTTCTCGACACCTGGAATGTGGGGGAGGGGGGCGAGAATATCAAATAACGGGGACAGAAAACATGGACAAAATTCGATAGTTTCATGAACAAACTGTCAAGCAACACAGTTTAAACGATCAACATGAAAACATTATTGACAAAAAACTTTTTTTCTAATGCACAAACAAACCGTAGATCATTAATTGTTAGCCTTCCAAAAAGATATTACAACGTAATACTCAAACGAGAAACTAAAATAAAAAGATAGGAATCAGCCACATATAAGCTAAGCTAATTGGCAATGGTTCAATGGCTAATGGTTGAAATCGCACCCATGAAGATTCTGAATTATCAAACAATTCTCAAAAATGGGAAGATCGTAATTGTTTAGCTGAACAGAAATAATTTCAACTTTTTAATCCCTGTGAGACTTTTTTCAGTCGACATGACAGTGACGATGATAGTGCTGTCAGTACTGCTTCATAAGTATTCCGGCGCGCACTTGGAGAATCTGCCGACAGGGCTGCGCGACGATTGTGAAGATACATCGCTCACTTGCGGTGCTGTCTTATCGCAATGGTAAGCGTAGCCGGCTGTTAGCTCTCCCATGGGCCACTAATCAAGTGGTTTTCCCCCCGCTAAAGTGTCTTGAAAGCCTGGAGTCGACAGAACGAAACATGTCGTTTTTGGCGCCAGGATTCTTGCGCGTGTTGCGCCCCGGCCTTATTATATTTCCCACTCAGATCTCGTCTGATACAGCCGGCGGGGCCTCGCACATATCTCCCCGCTATCACAGGCACCCACGAAGGTCACCTCACTTTTCAGCTGCGGGGAATTTTCCCTCCAAAGTCGGCCGAAATTTCCACCTCGCCGTAATTTGTCATCATCTATCCGCCAGCGGAAAGAGCGGGGCCGGCGATCAATATGGCCGGATTTATTATTGTATCAAAATAATTCACGGGATGGAGATTGGATAGCCGGGCTCGACGACTCCAGATTAGAAAAGCCATCCAATAGAAGAGAGGAGAGAAAATTCGGCCGGTCTGCGAGCATCAGATGTATCGGACTGGAGCGGGACAGGTGGCGGGCCAAATGAAGTGATAGCGACTCTAAATTAACGCCAAGGATACCAAACATATGTTGAATTGAGGCTCGCGTGGCGGACCTGATGCCGTGACCCTCGGTCAGACCCTATTGGAAACATTCGATTAATGTTCAGAGGAAGACTGACCCAGGAACCGCGGCTATCGGATCGGGAGTAATTGAAAAAAGGAAAAGTTTCGACCCTTTCTCGGTAACAGCTTCTCCGAAGGCGCTGTCAGAGGCTTCAGTTTAGTTTTATTTGTTCACACAAAAATATATAAATAGCATAATAAAGAAATATATGAAAAAAAATGTGCAGGAGGAGGGAGGAAGTCTACAAAGCTTGTACAAGACCCTGCTCCTCCAAACCTAACAAATATTAATAATGAATTCCAATCTAATATAATGATTATGAAATGACAACAGTAACAAAGATAGAACAAAGGAAACACAAAGCCCTCCCTCTTCCTTCAAACGTAACAAAAATATCAATCATGAAACTACTATAATGATTATAAAAATGAATTAATAGTAACAAAGATGTAAGAAAGGAGAGTAGTACATTATCAATAGGTACGAAAAAGCAATTCACTCATGACCAAAAAAACATTACATGACCGGAAAACAATATACTGGAAATTAATACAACTGAGATAGGAGGTTGCTGGCTAAAAAAGAGACCCGGAGCTTCAAAGTACCCGCTCGAATTTCCCGGCTATAAAAAACTGCTGGATTTGAAAGGCGTTCAGAGGACGGAGCGGCGGAGTGTTAAATTCTGAGGGGTGCGTCCGCGCCAAGGCATGAGGCATGGAACCCTCGACCTGACATCTTTCGGATTATCATATTTAACCCGCGTATTGGACGTGAGGAAAATCGATGGGAATATAGCTGACGGCTCCCTTCTGCTCATTCACTAATCGATTTTTGATGTGTATGGCTTAATATAGTGTGAAATACCGCGTGAACTCTGTGGCCCAGAGGTCGAAGAGTCAGCCTACCGCAATGTATACCAATGCGCCGCTATCCTTTACCGACACGCTTCAAACTACACAAACTAATACTCCACGGACAACTTTTTGCCATTTACCAAGGACAGTAGTGTGAGAGTAATATCTCCACTGACTGGATATCAAGCACAGCGCCCGGCCGCGGCCCGCACTTCCCGGGTTTTCTGCTCAAAATGAGATTGGTCATTCCAAGTGCGCTCGGTAATTGCTACATACATCAATAATGAGTGAACGGCGGCGAACCGCCTTCCCCGGCGTGCTTTAAGAGGCGATTTCAAAGGCCACTGCAAATTGAATCTGACTGAATTTCATTAAAGCAAGGGCAAGACAAGACGGATAAAATATAGGGCAGTAAAACAGGTCTGAACAGGATTAGGAAACGATGGTCTCCATACCTCTTCATTTAGGACACAATAAAACATGGCGAAGAAACTTCCCTGCAACGAGAAAAGAGCAACAAAGGGGTTAACAAGCAGAGGTCAGGCGAGTCCATTAATCTAGCTTAAAGTCAAAGCATCCGTCGCTTCTCCAGTCCAAACCTTCAAACGAGCCCGTCGTGAAAATGAATTGGACACGGTAGTCCGGCTATCATGAGCTGTCTCAACACACAATAACATTTTACGGCAAAAATTGCAACATGCTAGATATAACGTTAACTATAACATCTGATATAACGTTATATGAATTGATAATACACATGCAATTATCATTGTTTCATTTAAAATTTTAACTACACGAAATCCCATCTTGAAGCACACATTTAAGCATACGGAAAGGTATACAAAAGTGCAGAAACGAAATCTATCTGCATGCTTTAAGTTGTGCGGAAAGAAGGAATTTTGCGCGGTGTTTAAAGGGTAGAAATGTGGTCTCTCCTAAATAATCATCAAATGGTAATTTCACGATGTCCTGGGCTGGTACTGTAGGCCATATTGCTGCCTTTACTGTCAGAGTAGTACTGTAATAATTCTCGAAATATGCTCCCTTCACTGCATGCAGTATGTTGTGAATATGAGACCCTACGTGCGGCTCTCTTGATAAATACAGAGCGGCACTTAACGTAGTCATTCAATAACAATTGGATCTCATGGCCTGTTCTATTAGGTTGTATATTCAGGGCTTTAGTTAATACATAGGACGTATTTGAAGTGTACTAGATTCATAACCGACTAAAGAGCATCCAACTGAGCCTTGGCCAATAGATTAAGCTACAGTATACATACCCAGTGCAATTTGGAAAACAATAACTAATATTTAAAGCTACTGTAAATTGAGTGCCACCTTTCCTTCTCTTTTCTATCATTATATCTTTTCATAACGTTTGTCGTTTTTAACTTGCCTTTGTTTTCGTGCTGTCTTTTGTTCTTTGTTGCTTTCTTTTTGCCTTTTTTTCCTTCTTTTTTCTTCCCTTCTTTTTTATTTTTTTCTCCTTTCTTTCTTTCTTTCTTTCTTTCTTTCTCTTTCTTTCTTTCGTTCTTTCTTTCTTTTTATTGTTTTTCATACATATTTGTTTCTATACATATTTTAGATAAACCTAGATGTATCTGAAAAATGTATATTTAAGACTTGTACCTGAAGTGTGCTGAAAATGGCGAAGAGGTATTGCAAGATGGCGCCGACCATTTTCAGAGACAGAAAACTGAATGTCCACGTGACCATGGCTAGAACTAGCTGCGTCCAAACTGCTTTGGCGTGGTTTCTGAAAAAGAGAACAAAACAAATTGATTATGAAAAACTTAAACTGTTCTCCAACTTGACTCACCAGAAATTTTCGACTGAATCACTCAGTCTTCCTCAGCTATCTGACCCAAATGCTGTGGACACGTGATTTTTCCCACGTGTGACGTCAGCAAAGGGTCAAAGGTTGTCTGAAGTCGATATCGCCCCCCGTCCCGGTTGAGCGATGGTTGAAATGCCCTGATGTATATGGTCTCTTTTATGTGCTCTTTTATATGCTCTTTTAAAACAAATTGAATACATAAAAGAGACAACATTACCCACACGATGTTTTTTTTTACTTTGGCGATCCACATTTGCTATCGGCTGTATATCTTTATTCAAACTTTACGAGATGGTTTTGTGGAGGTTTAGTATTGCAACTATCTTTGTAGGTCATTTAATACTGCACAATAAACTCAGAAATGTAACGTTATCTTTCACAGGAAACAGCAAAGTATTGGGACAGCAAGGTGCGTGTATTACTGTCCTTACAGTATCAAAACTTAGCGTTGCTCTAGCATAGCCTACTACAACATTCTCTTGTGCGACTATTCTTCTTATAGCCTGGTTCCCCCTTACTAATAGTATCCTAGTACACTAGTTATTCTAGCTTTCGTACCCCCATTTGATAGCTCATAATATAATAATAATAATAATAATAATGGTTTATTGATGCTTGTAGTACAGATTAGCAGGGCCCAGGGAATTTGGCCCTGAATTACTCTGGCATTCACACATATTACTTACTGCATGTTTAAAATTATTTGTCGTTCTTATTACTGACTGTAAATATGTCAAAAGCTTTTAAAACACATAATGATAAAAAGATCAGGGAACAATAATCTAAATATCGTGTATCAAGAGTAACATCTGCAGTCTCAACCGGCATTTATAAGTCAGTGATCTCACAACGCCTACCCAACATCACAATATGCGGTATTGCACTGTTCTTAAAATGTTCCATTCTTGCAGTGATAGTGTTCTATTTGTAGCAAGATCTGGTCTCTCTTGCATTTGTCAGCCACTGTCTTAGGGTTTGGGATTCCATTTCTCTGTCATAGTGTTTGGAGAAGCTAGAATAGGATGGATACAGGCTTTGCACCAAGCCGCCATGAAGCACAGAGACATATGAATAGTCGACAATATTTGTTTCACGACTTTCCTCACTTCGCTCAGGTGAAAATGAGTATTGTCCTGTCATGTGTTTGCCCCTGTGTTGGTGGTGGCATTGATATAAGTTGAAAAAACTTGAGTATGCGTCACCACGTCTGCTGATTACATGTTGGAATAAAAAAAAAACTCCAGACACAGCCCGGCAAGTGTAACTGACTGGAGAATGGCGTCGATGGGTGTTTTTATCTTTCCCGGCCTGTCCAACACCAGGAGTAGCTGGTTCTGGATCCAGTCGTTGTTTGATCAAACGGTTCTGTTTTCAATCACGACATCCCGCAGATGTCTGATTACGGCTGCGTCAGCCGAGCTGTCGTTTGCCATCAGCCGGTGCGTGTTACTGCTGTCGCGCGCCATCAGCCGGTAGCGTGTAGCTGTGATCACATCTCGCCTCGCTCGTTAGGCCGAGAGGAGTGGGGCTCGTCATGCGGAGTGGCAGCTCTCTGTACCCCGGACCAGCGTACCGCAACTAAACAACTCTGATGGTAATAGATGCCTGGGCCATTATTACCACTTAGCCAAGTGCAGATAGCCCCCGGGAAGCAGCCATTTTTGTTTGTTTTCGGTAGTATTTTTACCACAAACATTGCTTTTGAGTGCTTTAACTATTCAACATCACAGGAACGAGATGCGACATTAGCTGACCACACGAAATATGATTTATAATCACACATTCCTTATGGATGAAGCAACGCTGAAACAGTAGCTCATTTCAATTCAAAACCTCTCTATGTTGAGTTTGTTTTTTCTCAATCTCCTTGTTCATGTGATATTTCACTTCAAGATAGAGCTATTATAGAATACACTAGCGCAAGCTTACTCTTTAGTTAGCCTCCCCCAGGCCTTCCTACGGGGGTATGGATGGTGCAAATTGTGTGTGCAAATTACGGTTGCTAAACTCCTCTGGCTAATTATTCCCCCTATTGGCTAAATTGTACTATTTTTTAACCCGCAGTGTTGATCTAGTTGAGACTACTCTCTAGTCTAATAGTTATTCTGCCAAATAACTGCATGCCGCGGAATGACGATATTATGGATGCTTCTGATGCTGAATGAAGACTACTGCTAAACTCCTCTGGCCAATTATTCCCCCTATTAGGCTAAATTCTACTGTTTTAGAAATGTTATTCTAGTGGAGACTACTCTCTAATAGTTATTCTGCCAAATAACTGCATCCCGCGGAATGACGATATTATGGATGCTTCTGGAGCTGAATGAAGACTGCTGCTAAACTGCCAATTATTCCCCCTATTAGGCTAAATTCTACTGTTTTAGAGATGTTATTCTAGTGGAGACTACTCTCTAATAGTTATTCTGCCAAATAACTGCATCCCGCGGAATGACGATATTATGGATGCTTCTGGAGCTGAATGAAGACAAAGCGACGCCATCCCGGCGTACATGTGCGCACACCGAGCCGTGACATCAATACAAAAGACGCTCGCTCCTGTCTATTAAGCCGCACTACTGTTAACGCCAGTTTGGCCCTTGTCAAGGTGGCTTCAGATCGATGGAAGAGGAGAGAAACAGGGTAAGAAAGGGCACGACTGGCGTCCGGTTCTAGCGGGGTGGCTACAACAGTATCTACTGTCTAAGTGCGGCCGGTATATGGTGGGAAAGTACATTCTCCGAACATATCACTTTGAACAACTCACTGCACGAAATCCTATGTTCAAGCATACCTTAAAGCACGCGTAAAGGTATACACGACTGAAGAAATGAAGCTTTACGTATTCTTTTAAAGGTGTGGGGTGAAGAATGGCTTGGTTTGGCAGTGAAACACTGTACGTATATACATAGACAACTAGATAAATTCAATCATCTAAAACTTCGTATACTCAGTGTCAAATATTGTATTTTCAAATATGTAAGTAATGAAAATCCCTCCAATTTTTTCCGAGAGTCAACCCTAAGTCACCAAGAGGGTTTTTAAATAATGATCATAATAATTTTGAATTATTTGAAAGTGAAAATGTGAATGCATTTGAATTTATTAAGATATCTGTGAAACATATAGAAGGGGCGTTCTTCCACACATAGATAAAATGATATATCGAAGAAGTCATTTGGGATACGATCCAATGAACATATCTGAAAAGATTTAAATTAGCGCATACACAATACACTCACATGACGACTTTGTTGGCTTGCTGATCCTTGGAGTAGGAGCTTTCCACTATGTCCTTCATAGCGAAAATCAGAACCAGGGTAGTGATCTGAAAAGAAGTGATATGAGGAAACCATTGCCATTTTTTTTCTTTGATATTTCATTATTAAAATAAGTATTAACAGCCATTGCAGCAAATAACTAGAAAGCAAATGCATAATGTTAACCTTCGCATATGGTCTGCTCTGTTAATTCTTACTCAAACATATTCATCTATGTGGTCAGACAGCAGTCTAAATCCCTCCTGCTATAAAATTGCAACATGATGTAACCCAACACTCGTTTCGATGGTGACAGACGTCTGGTTCAGGTCATTGACCTTTAGAGAAGATGAAGAGGAAGAAGAAGAGAAAGAAGAAATAGCAACAACAATATGTTTTCCTTCATCGAAGGTAAACATAAAAATCCACAAACGAATACCTACTGTGAGGATACCGAATACCGGACCCAGTAACATCCACACGTGGTTCGACGATATCCAGCATCTACAAAAAAGACCACAAAAATAACACAACTTTAGGCAACTTAAAGCAGAGTTGTGTAGTATTTTTGTGCTAAAATTGGAGCATTCTTGATGTAAAAAATCTTCACTTGATTACCATCTGTGACACTTATCCGCCCAATTGTATCATTATCTTACATTTCTGACGTTTCTGGATAGCGCAAAAACACTACACACAAGATAAACTGATTTTGTGCCACCATCACACAAGTTTCAAGATTTCAAACACTCTCGTACGGCAGAATATATTCGGACGTCCCCTCCCTTAATTGCACTGTAACTGGGTAGGATTGAATCAGCTTGTTTTCTAAAGAAATGGCCATATTTTCCTTGTGTTGCGTGTTGCTTTTACAGAAATCTCAAATCAATTCTAACTAAAGCATAACAACCTGCGAAGCTTAACTAGAATCTGTTTCCATCGTGTGCTTAACGAGTCGTAAGGAATTGATTTACAATAAGAAAAGACTAAAAGTCAATATCACAACATGGGCGAAATTGTCCAGTATCAGAAGACGTGGTGGAATATTGACGTTTCTATCTCGTACATTTGTAGAGTTGAGCTGACATTTGGCTTGACTTACAAGTCTGCGCTGTCGTAATAACTGTCCTGGTTTATCCCAACGAAAGCTGCCACCACCATACCTGGAACAACTGTGGAGGGAATGCCTCGGTTATTTTTTGTCTTATAAAACAGCAACAACAACAAAACAATAATAATAATAATAATAACAACAACAAAATAATAATAATAACGAAATAATAATAATGATAATAATAATAATAATAATAACGAAATAATAATAATAGTAACGAAATAATAATAATAATAATAACAGATTGTTATAATAATAACAGATTGTTATAATAATAACAGATTGTATTGCATAACAACTGTTCGAGGTCCAACTCATGTTATTTACTGCAATATAACACACCATTACTAAGCAAATCACCCACTTTACAACAGTCTATTTTTAGTGCAGGATTATAATTGTTTTCCTATGGCAGGCCCGCGAATCATAGAAAAATATTGTTTTATATAAAACTTCTCTTTTGGACATAATAGCCAAAAAGGTTAACCCTATAATTACATTTGTGATATGAGGGTGGTCATGCTGGGATCAGATATCCCATCGCTTGTTAGAGACCTATATCAAAAAGTATGTCTGGTGCTGTCCTTGGTTCTGAAAACGTGGTAATTCTTCATTATGCTCTTCCGACTCACTGTATGCTCTTGTGATAGTTACCTCCGTGAAACATGAAGGTATTGTATTTGTCTCTATATGTGTCTGTCTGTGTGTGTGTGTGTGTTTCCAAATAGTTGTGGTCAGCATATCCTCAGAAGGCCTGTATGGATTGTGATGATATTTAGTATGTGGGTAGGTCTTGGAAAGACAAATGTTCAAACTTGTTCCATAATCAGTTAATGATGTTTCTTTATTGTTTATTGCTTTATTTTCCCGCCGTTGTTTTAATCACGTGTTAATAGTACTATGTACAACTTTTAAATGTAGGAATAAAGACTCAATAATATTCAATAAAGAAATGAGAAGACCAGACGACAGCCCACTCCCCGATACAGCACTCATGTCCACCCTGAGTTCTGGGCGTGCAAAACTGACAGTCATCGTTGAGTTTTGAGTTTTTTTGACGAGGATTGGCCATCGTTGTCATCGTCGTAAAACTGTTTGTCCGGATGATGAAGACGTTTTGATTACTTGACGCTGGGCGCCTTTAAGTGTGACATGGTGGCAGCAGACAACACTCAGAGTACCGCCCCGATCAGCGGCTCGAAAGCCGAGAGGCGCCAACCGCCGACCTCAGCCAGTAAATGGCCGCCACCCACCACTCAATAGGTCCTGTGTCACTAACGATGAACAAACCGGACGCTTAAGCGATGCCTTTTAAGACATCATCTGATGCACGATAAGAGCGTCCATGTGCAAATGTCAGGACTTAGGATTGCATTTCCAGGAACGACCCACGGGCGGTTTGGGGATTATTCAGCACAAAAGTACTAATGATTTTCTTGCTGTAGGATAGAGAGAAAGATCATTTTATCTAGAATACATATTTAGAAGGAGCCGCTAGGGCATAGGATGGAACAAATTCTGTGCACGACAAGGAAGGGTTAGGGCATTGGTTCGTGTCTTCGTTAACGACTGCAGTTTGAAAGAAAGCTGCAAGGGGCGTCACATCACTTCCTGTGCTCAAGTAGCTTCCTATGCAATAACAAACAACGAGAAAAGAGAAACAGACGGTACCGAGAGAATAACCTCTTTGAAAAATCATGGAGGTAACATTACGTCCTGTACAATATACTAGGAATCATCGTCTTCACAAACAAACCAACAAACACAAAAGGTCCACTTTAGTAACGTAGGAACTCCCATAAGGTCCAATTTCGCATTTGACCTTCGTCTTTCCAACAACTTGCCTACAGAAGATCATGAACATCAACTCATAGTTTTAAGAGTTATACCGCCTACACTCACAGTCACTCCACCATAGCCAAACCAAAAACATAACCTTCTGGCGAAGGTAATCTTAAAGAAAATGGCAGCAGTGTAGAGATCTCGTGAAGAAATGGCCTTCAAAATGTAATCCTTGCTACTGCTTTCTCAAAGTCGTCACAAGGATTCACTGCTGTGCAACTGGATGGTTTAACGACCCCACCTAGCGTTCTTTCACATCATAACAGGAAAGAAGTATTGGTGATCGATGATAGTCTCTCTGTAACGATCGCACGTCCCAATAAGAATTGCTTATTCCAGACACGTGTAATTGCTTGCTGGCACTTTGAAAGACCACCCATCAAAAGTGCGATGACTTGATAGCGCCTTGGCAGTACTTAACAAAATGGCGCCTGAGAGGTGAAAGTCGGAGTATCTGCTTCACCCATGGCATCTTTGCACGTGCGCTCCAACCCAAACCAACCCAACTCATCGACCGGGAAATTGAAGAAAAGACATGCCTTTTACTAGCTGACCGGCGGCCAAGATGGGAATAGCTGTTTGGGTGGCGTGAGTGTGATGACGATGTTTGACTAAAATAATTGGTCACCTGAACTTTTGGACGCAAAACTGTAATATATCACGACCTATTGCTAACTTAGTTAGAATAGATATTTTGTAATAATTTGCTAGCGGTTACATGCGGTGAAACAATGCGTCACTTCCTGTTTCAGTCAGCCGGTCTTTCACTCCTGACATCTGCTTGGTTTTCATTCATATGGTAATGTATCGGACATACTAGACGTGCTGCAAAGAGACGCCGGTCTGCAGGCTGAGTACTGGAGCTTCGAATTCTGGGCTACCATGGTTGCCAGAGGAAGAGAGTGGCGCCCAACATAAGTCAAGTAAGTCAATCAGTCACCTATGTAGCCATCGAACATGACACGTAAAGACAGCCCAAACAAAAATGCATTCTGCATTGTGTATATGTATCTGTATCTGTATATCCGGTACAACCGCCCCTCGGCGAAACACGCCAACTTCGCTGGCACACAGCGCGGCGGCAGCTAGCTATATCACACCGATCGACTTGTTACACCTAACCCTTGAACATCTAACTCTAAACAGAGCCCTCTAACATCATTTTAAACAATCTAGTGAGGACGCCCCTACTGTACTTGGTGATAGCGAGTTCCAGCCTACGTCAGTTCCAGGAAAAAATGAGATTTTAAACGCCTTAATCCTGGGTAAAGCTAAGGTCCCAATTACGCCGGTGCCCGTCGGGGATGTAGCCCCGGCTGGCCCCGGCCGGGTTCAGGAGTCGAGCGGGCATCGGCTGTCGTGGTCACAATTAAAAGTTTCCTTCAGTAGCATTTTGTTAGAAATTTTGTCACCCTCTTTGGTCGGTATCCGGCAGGCACCCGGCAGGTACCCAGCAGATTCTCTGACGATGTCTTGTATTGACCTATACGTAATGCAGAATTCACGTATTTGTTGTGATCATTTGATCTGTGAGGTCACACATTTTACCCGGGTTTACGAAGTACACACCTTTATTCTGTTCATCTGGTCTGTGACGTAAGAAATGTGTCCCGGTGGAATGCCGGCAACCGGAGGGGTACCTCTCGGTGTTCTCACGATGAGGTCACGGCGTTTTTTGTCAGCGGGGCCCGGGTAGAATTTAACTCAGAATTAAATTCTTATCGGGGCCCCGACGGGCCAAAAAATAGCCCGGTAGCCGCAGAGTGCCCCGCGGGGCCACGTCGGGGTCCCGCCCGAAAGTGGTAAAAAAACAGCCCGGGAACTACCCGCCAGGGCCCCTTTTCCCAATTGGGACCTTAGCTTTACTAGTAATAACTCTCGTATTGAAGGCATTTTCAAGGCTATTTCTTGTGTTTTTTTTTGGAGCTGGTATTAGGTACTTAATAGCGGGTACATCCACCAGTTTATTAGTCATTTTGTACACCATGAAAGGTCTGGACATTTTTTCGCCTGACATCCATTGTAGGTTTGTTTTCATTTCCGTAACACTAACACCTTTCATAGTTGTTTGTACAGAATCATGCAGCTTAGTTCTGTACCTTTTCTATGTTTGGTACTAAAAGTGATTTTACTCTAGTTGGGCATACCCACAGATTATGTTTGATCACTCTCAAAGTCTGTTTAGCCTTTAGTTGTGATGTTGTTTACACGCATACGTACCCCATCCCATGACGTAGTACCTCGCCATGGGGCGCTGCTGCACGGCTGTCTCGTGCATGGCGTTAGACACGACCACGTACAGGTTAAAGGCTTCGTTCATCAACCACGTGAACATGGTCAGGAAGAAATAGTGGATCAAAACTGCAAACCCGCGGCACACCAACTATGTAAGGGAAAACATAAGGAAAACGTTTTTGTATCTACTAGAAAGGTAACATTTGCAAGGCAAATGCATTATGTTTACCTTCGCATATGGTCTTCTCTGTTAATTCTTACTCAAATACATTCATATATATATATATGGTCAGACAGGAGTATAAATCCCTCCTTCTATAAAATTGCAACATTATGTAACCCAACACCAGTTACCATGGTGAGAGACGTCAACAATCAGGTTATTGCCCAGGTCAGTGTTTGGAACGGAAGAAGAGGAAACGTAGCAAAAACAATATGTTTTCCTTCGGTAAACATTATAACATTAATCTTGTTATTGATGACGTGCATGCATCTTTAGCGTAGAGGAGGAACAAAAAAATTTCAAGAGTAATGGACCTGATTTTTAAGGATTATTTTTCTGCTATTGTCTTTGTACTTGGATACACACCATACTTTCTGTCCTTTTGATTCCGATGACAAAGAAGAGGTGCAGAAGTGTGATAGAAGCCGCCAAGTTTTTGTGGACTTCGACTGTGTCTGCTTTGCACCTGTATGTCGGATGAGGGACAACAAATGTAACATTAAGCATCTAGTGATATATATATAAAGTATTTATAGTACTATATTCACCATCACAAGGCGACATCTTGCGATCCATGTACAAATCGCAATATAACTCGACAGCGGTAATAAACTTCTGAACTGAAAATAATACTAGAAAGGTAACATTTGCAAAGCAAATGCATTATGTTTACCTTCGCATAATCTGCTCTGTTAATTCTTACTCACACATTCAGATAAATGATGACAGGAGTCTAAATCCCTCTTGCTATAAATTGCAACATGATGTAACCCAACACTAGTTACCATGGTGATAGTCTGTCTGGCCCAGGTCATTGACCTCTTGTGTTTGGAGAAGAGGAAACTGAGCAAAAACAATATGTTTTCCTTCGGTAAACATGACAAGACGTACTTGTAGTAGTAGAATGCACAGAAGGCTCCGATGCAGAGAAGCATGCACGCAATGCACCCCATGACCGCAATGGGCTCCTGTTCAAAATGGCGCTGGTACGACAGCCTCCACTGCAATGCAAGAAAGCAGTTCACGGATGTACAAGTCATTTTGAAAGAAACAAATAAGTTCAAATGCTATGTTTTTTTCGTTTACTACCTTGAGGATACGTAAGGAATCAAAATTATGAGAACTGTTTGCAATTATCATCAATATTATTCTATGCTACATCATGAGTTGTTAGCATAACAATTGAGTGAACATATATGTAGTATAGAAAACGATGCTACATTTGTTATGATAAAATATTACTATAGCAATGCCTCTAGTGTAAAAAGAAGATAAAACCATCCTATTTGTCCTAAAATGTTTTGTACGCAACCAAGAGCTTGCATGTACAAAAAGAACACCACTTATAATTTAATCTTGGAAGTTAATCTGTGTTGGTAGAAGTCATTATGAAACAAGTTTGAACTGCAACTTATAATTCTTCACATTTCTTCATGAATAAAAGAAGGACACCAAAAGAAGTCAGGATAGGGGAATGTGGGGAGGGGGGCGGTAAACAACTGGTTACGCACATTGATATCGTACATGTCTGTGCCGACGGTTACAATTCCGGTCTGCCTACACTCGCACAGAACTGTGTTGTACCGCTTTCTGACGAGCTTACATCCGTCCGCCACCCAGCGGTACGGGTGAAATCTGCAGGGGAAAGGGACAGGCTGAGGTTCACAAATACCAGTGCACATGCTCGGTGTCAAATGTGAATGATAAACTAAATGTGAACTAGAAAGGCATGATGTTAACCTTCGCATATGGTCTGTTCTCAGACTGACTGTTAATTCTTACTCAAAGACATTCATATATGGTAACAGTCTAAATCCCTCGTGCTATAAAATTGCAACATGATGTAACCCAACGTTTGTATATCTAAGCGTTGTTAAAAGCTCTATAGTAAGGCTACAGATAGACCGCTAGAGACCCGCACTTCTCATTCATTGACACTGACTAAGACGGACGAGCAGAGTACATGGACTTACTTGTCCCCGATCACAAGCGTCAGACAGCGAGGGTTAGAGACATTGTAGTACTGCAATAGAACATAACAAAAACATCACGTAAAATATACAAGCTGATAAGTTTGGAAAAACACTTTTATCTTCTAGTGACAATTGATGGTGATGATTGATTTGTTAAAACTAAAACTTGGTTTCCATTTTCTCCACCGTGTCTCTGATCTTGAAATATTTACACAATGGAGAAGTGTTTCTGTATTACATTGTCTTAGGGCATTTCCTTTCAAGACTACCTCAGTTAAAAAAATAGACGTATAGGTAGCTACTGTAGTACACTCACACACAATCGTATCTAGAACCAAGCCTATCTAGTTATGTTCCTGAATGGGTTGGTATTATATATTAGGATCAGGAACAGTTCTGAGTACGAGTAGTCTCTACGTAGATTTGCTCCAGACATGCGGTTCTGGATACGCGTGGACTATCCAGAACCATGTCTGAGCACGGTTCTGGATAAAGAAAGCACGGTTCTGGACACAACACGTACCTTGAACAGTGGCAGGGTCGCCAGAAGTGGCTCGGTCAGATTGTTCATCTCTTGCTCCTCCAGAACGTACGTTCCGACCATGGGGGCGTTGATGTTGGCTTCTTTAGAACTTCTGTTGAAGATAACAAGATCAATGATAACATAGTATCGACTGGAATACTATCTAAACGTTGATGTAGACATTTATCACTGCCACACGTTACTCTATTTTCCCCGTAGCAACACCAACCGTGTATAAGAAGCTTTTTTATTCAACAACCAGCGTGAGCATCTTTAGAACTTCTGCTGAAGGTACCAACATCAAACGATAACAAAGTATCGACAGAAAAACAGTCCAAATGTTGATGTGCACATTTCTCATGTTTATCATCACCAAACGTAACTCATTCTTTTCCTGTATCGACCCAAACACAGCTACAAATAAGAAGGTTCTTCATTCAACAACCAGTGGGTTTTCTAACTTATCAACTTGTGTGGCCGTCTGTCACAGAAACGACTGATTCGTCATGATTCGTTCTGCAACTAGGTGTCGCTGCTGCAATATTACAAATTAGGTCCCAAACGTTGCCACATAATATGTACATATTGTCAAGCACAGTAATAATAAACAAGATTCTTTTCTTCTTAAAATGCATTTGTAGTATTGCAGTACGAATCAGAACCAGCACCCTAAAGAAGGTGAAAGACGGTCACCGAAACGTCGGATGTCAAAACTCACTGATTGTTAAATAAAGGACCTTCTTACACAATATCTTTCCGATGAAATTATTAACGGAACAAACACACAACAGTTATACCACACGGAACAAACACACAACAGTTATACCACACGGAACAAACACACAACAGTTATACCACACGGAACAAACACACAACAGTTATACCACAAACAGTTTTGCTTTTAAGATCCCGGATGTCATGCGTAGGTAGATGGGTAACGGAAGTGACGTCACCTGAAGTGGTTGGGGAGGAGCCTGACGACGGTTGGATAGGCGATCTGGCCCAGCCCCACGTACTCTGTTCTTGACAACCGGCAACACGTGGTGTGTGAGAGTGAGTCAGAATTATCAGCAACCCAACAACAATCATCTTACAGTTAGCTTGTCTAAGGGGTTTCCTTTTGTCTACATTTCTATAGAACCTATGAAAACTTAGTTTTTTGTACGTTAGATAAGAGCAAAATTTACAGTGTCAAAACAATTGACAGTTAGGGGCGTCTATCATCAAATGAATTTTCGACAGAAGATCCATTTGATATCACTGTCCCTGTCCTTGGTTCTGAAATACGCCCGCTCTAACATAACTGTCCCTGTCCTTGGTGCTGAAATACGCCCATTCCAACATAACTGTCCCTGTCCTTGGTGCTGAAATACGCCCGCTCTAACATAACTGTCCCTGTCCTTGGTGCTGAAATACGCCCACTCTAACATAACTGTCCCTGTCCTTGGTGCTGAAATACGCCCACTCTAACATAACTGTCCCTGTCCTTGGTGCTGAATTACGCCCAACCCTACGAAAGTTCAATTTTTCTCATTGATAGTTACAGGTTAAACTACATTTCGTAATTTCCTCTGTAAACACAGATATCCTTTCATTCGAAGCTACGGCCGTCTAGTTTGTACGTAACAAAAATGCATCATTTATGTTAACCCTCTCCCCGCTGCCCAACCCCATAACCAATACAAATCATGTTCCAAAAGGCTACCTTGGCACGCTGAAGGTTAGTTAATCAAAGGAAAATGTCCAACTCCGCACCTTGTCGTGTTAGGTTGAGCTGAGATCGCACGTCTGCCGCCAGACGGTTCATGTCGTCCACCCTGCCGTTCGGGAACACGCTCTTGGCGTACCGGGTTCTGCCGTTCACCGTCATCCTGGCCGACACGTCCCGCTGTAATACCTGTACGGACAGGGCTAAAAACAGGTGGGGAAAGATCCCTTGTAAGGCCACACCAATTTCATTTATAGAAGAACTTTATTGCACGACAATTGCACATGCTACAATGTATGGCAAACTACATAAAGAAAGTAACAAACAATAAAAAAATGTAATGAATAAGACCTAATGTGTCGAATAAAACATATAATATATATATGGTAGTTCTCGGACTTTTGAGAAAGAAAATGTGAAGCGACAAAGCGACAAAAACAGGCTTAGGCATCCTACGACATCAAAGTCAACATACCAGGCTGGTTTACAATTGTATTTCTGAGGAATCATAAAATTCTAATTCAAACACCGAATTTATAGATGGAAAAGCTGTAACAACTTGGAAGAAAGGAACTATCTTCAACTGTTGGGGCCAACATATGAGCATTTTGGAGTTGGTTCAGAACCTGATTTTTTTACAAATCAGAAAAAAAATTAAGAAGTCGAATCCGAGAATCAATTTTGAAACATTCGGTTATCGCAGACACAGTAGCCGACCTTGCCGACTACCAGCCGAATTGCTCCCGACCTACTCCTAATCATCATGGTTGGGGGTAGTTTGGCCGTGTTCGGGAGACCGTATTCAGCTATGTACGACAGGGGCTTGACTCACCGAAGTTCTTAAACTTCAGCTCCACCGACGCGTCTCGTATCTGCAGCTGTCCCTGCTTGAGGTGGAACTTCATGCTGTCTGACAGCAGCCTGGCGAAGTTCCTGACGATGCCGAGCAGCCTGACCGACTCCCCGCCCACCGGCTTACTGTACTCCCAGGCCTCGTACCTGTCCCGACCCAGCATGTTGTTGATAATGTCTGCTAGAACCTGTGAATACAGAAAATAACAGGAAAATGCACATGTGCTTTGTATGAACCATAATTACAACGTTAGGTGCATCTCATGAGTAGCCTGAGTGCCAGCCTTGCTAGCTTTTGTCCGCTCCCCAAGATCCCCACCAACAAGACTGAACCCGCACGCATTGGTGGGGAGCGGATCTTGGGGAGCGGACGAAAGCTAACAAGGCTGACACTCAGGCTATGTCATGAGATGTTTAAAACCCTTGTCCTGCTGGCATTTTTTACACAATTTTTTTTCAATAATTTCATGTCTTAACCAGATCATAGACCCCTGACTTTTTTGCCCTGCGGTGGCATAGTTACTTCCGCATTCGTTGCGTTTCGCTGCGCGGTGTGATGCGTTGCAAGAGCATTGCCCTGCGGTGCCCTGCGGTGGCATAGTTACTTCCGCATTCGTTGCGTTTCGCTGCGCGGTGTGATGCGTTGCAAGAGCATTGCCCAAATCGTACCTATACAGGTGCTATATGGATGTTACTGTATGTGCAACACAATAATTGTTGGGCGCCGCAGAACTAGGGTTAAAATGTGAGCTATTTGTAGATAGTGTAGTTGAATCAACAATGTTTTATATCTTTATTCCAAAACATGGAATGGTTTTTGGCGACGTCTCAGGGAGGAGCCTAATGGTACAGTATTGTGTGCAGTTTGCAAGAATTCTAGGAATGGTACACGCATTTTGTCCACAGGAATGGAATGTCCACAGGCATGTCTCTGACCCACATTTATGCCTACATTCCTGGAAACCCATGGGAAGACCTCTCTTTCCCGGATGGCCCTACTTTCTGTGACCCCGGGGCTCGTTCACTATACACTCAGGGGAGGAGTGCATTGTATCTGTCTAGAATTAACAGGTACCAAGTCTTCCTCAAGATCATTAAATCATGTCAGTGCCATGCAAACAATAACCCTAACAGCAACCACCGTCGCCATGGCAATTATGTTTTCATTGCCAGTCTTCTTTGCAATTGAAAACGTTTCGGAATGCAACATTACCTGAGCGAACCGGCTGGTATCGTCCCACTGCGGGTATGACGTGTTGGGAAGGGCGCCGATCGCGGCTTGCTGTATGGCGTACTTCAGCGCCCTCTGTTGGAGTTTGACTATCATTGCAAGGTTGTCGATGTCTACGGAGATGTCAAATATGTTTCCCGCCTCTTCTTGGGTAAGGTTCTGTAAGATTTCTGCATAGCCAGGAATATAGCTGCCGTTGACTTTGGTATTGCTTAGGAGCACCTTTTTCACCTGAAAGAAGATTTGATTAGATATGTCAAAACAACAAAGCAAAGCACAATGGAATATATCTACGTTGTACCTACTTAACCATGTGCTCAGCCCAGAAAATTTGAAGGTGGAGACATGATATCCATAACGCCACATGATAATGAATGAATGAAAGACCTTTATCGTACGTTTGTGCTCTAACAAGCTAAGTACAGGTCACGAATAAACGGGAAAAATAATACAGCAATGACACTTCAACCATACACACTAATGTGGTCTACTGTGTACGAGTTCAACTTCTTCTCGCTTCTTTAGGCAGTTATAGATGTAAGAACATATTGGGATACTCAGTGATACATTGTTTGTCAAGTTTCATAAGATGAGGATTTACAGATGGATAGGGCCACACCAAGTAAATTTTATGGATGACGTCCTTTGGAGGCCCTATATATAATGCGAGAGGGCGAAAAAAAAAACAAGAAGGGCCCTAAAAACAAGATGCCTAGATTAGAAATATACTAAGAGACGACAAATGTTAGGACACAAATTGAATGAGGTGACACAGATTAACAAGCAAGTCTTTTATTCATCATCAAAACCGCAATAAATCAGGTGGAACAGCAGTTATCGTCCTGTCCTGTTTCTTTCATCGCATTTTTAGGCCTGCAGAAACAAAGCATGTGCTCTTTACCCATTTCGCGTTACGGGTTTAACGTCAATCTAACGATTTGCGGCACTGTCGTGACTCTTTGGTCATAGTTACAGGAAGCGGAATTTCTTTTTTTTTTCTAGGAACAGGCCAAAATCAATGCGCGCGTGGACGTCATCCATAAAATTTACTTGGTGTGGCCTAGTACAGTTTACTTACCTCGGTCCTGAGATCCACCCTTCTTGTCCCGATACAGTCGGACAGTTGCGGTTGTTCCCACTCTCCATCAGTCGCCGTGGTCCGGCTACATGTTCTGTTGGCGTACCCTGGGACACATAACATAGCGGTAAACACTGTATTTCTAACCTCCAAGCAGATGCTTGGATTGTCATTGTTTTCTTACATGAATGAATGCCGTTATTGCACATCGATACACACTGGGTTAGCTACAGGTCACTGAAAATAATAGTTTATATATGCATGTATACATTATTTGTTAATAAGTTAATAACATGCGTGTGCTATGGACAACATTGTAAGCAGTTCAATTTACAAGATGTATTCAATTTGTTTCGCCTCGTAACTCTTTCAACCTTGCACTTCTATTCTGTACATTGAGGTATGTGAGATACAAACAACTATCTTGCAAACTAACTTCAATGAGAAGACCTGTGTAATGTGAACAGGAGACAGACTAACTTGGATAGTCCCATGCCGAGTCCTGCGCCCCGGGACAGACGATACTCGCCGTCTTGCCAGCCTGGGTACGCGGCCACATCAGGTTATTGTTCAGGTCCGCGTTACACTGAGGCCCTGTAAAATCACACAAACACACAGCAATGGTTAGCCTGTGTTACACAAGCTCTCTCAGCCGGAGGTCAATGACCCCCACCCCAAGATGGCGGCAACCTTAGGGCGGCGGCCGCCAGGAGCGCGATTTAGTCAGGCTAGGCAATGGTAAACTATCATGAAAGTTCATCTGTGTTGGTAGTAATCATAGTAACTTTATTCCAACACAAAGATTAAACACAGGTCAAATACTCAACGACCACTGTCGCCTTCATCAGGATGGTAAATTTGTAACATTAGAGTCACCATCTCTGGGACTACGGGAAGGGGGAGGGTCTCCCTCTGGTTGGGTGTTCTTTTTTGGATTACGTTTTTGTGTTCCCATCATACCTCACGTTCCTTTGAACGTATTTGTTTGAATTTCGGTGCGTGGTTAGCTAGCTATTGTGGTCCCGATGAAACGTGGTGATTTGGGGCATTTTCTTACTCAGTTTCTTTTTTGACTATAGCAATGATAGAAATTTCACGTTGAAAAATGAGAAGCTGCTCCCGATGACGTCATTCCATCGATTTTCCCGCCCAAATTATTTACATGACGTCAAACCGAAAATGGGGCACAGAAAGCACGTCGGCACAACGTACTGCACCTGTGCGAAATCAGGAGGGTAACATACATATGTAGCACTTCTACAGTACGTGTTTGCGTATTTATTGACTAGACGAGATGTTACAATTGTGTTTTCCTAATACTTCGTTGGTAGTTTGGGTCGTGAGTACGAAGGTCAAGCTCGATAATTGGGAACCTAGCGGCTTTCGAAGGATCTGCAGAGATAACTTTAGTTTTATATGTCTGTATGGTGGTTTGTCTTGGAATCTAGGTCAAGATATTTTAACAGGTAGCCAACAGATGGTCGATTTGAGCCAAAGCAATGTGCAACTATACACTGCATAACACACGCCCAAATAAAATTACCATAGAAAGAGCAACGCAAATGACGAAGGAATGAGATCTTTGACCTCTAGTTCCCTTTCAATAGGTGCTCCCAACGACAGATGCGCCACTCTGGAAAGCCGCCCATGCGGGACGAATACATGTACCTGTTATCACCAGCCCCATCAAAATGCCCATTTGCCCACATGTACTATTCTTTATCGATTTGCGCCGTAATCATCAGTCAAGAAAAATCGATATTCGGGAGCCGCTCCGAAAAAAAATTAATCTATCCCCCGCTACCGTGGAACATGGAGACCGATGCAGGCCTTGATGTAAAGATAGGGATTTTGCTGGAGGCATATGGAGGCACGGTTGTAGGTCGTCCCCTTGGTTCGATTTAATAAAAATACACTGGAAATACATGGGGAGCGAATATCTTAGGGTCAATACGCTCTGTTTCTGCGCTTCTGTGCACTACACAAAATCATACCTTAAAGATAATACGTAAAGGTATACGCGAGTGAAGAAACTAAATCTTTACGCATACTTAAAGGTGTGTGTTAAGAATAAGAATTTTATGCAGTGGTTTTTGTTACGAATACCTTTCGACTACAAAACAATGATATATTATGTATATCTTCATCCTATCTTTGCCGGTGTATGCGGCGACTTACCGATAGTGAAGCTGCAATATTCGTTACAGGATTTTTTGGAGTCGGCGTGGCATTTGTCTGAAAAGGAAGAAAAAAACACGCAAACGTTGGTGTAAGAATAGCCTATAGTGCAGACATTTCTAGCGGCCTGGTTTTGTTCCAGTTAGCGCGGGGGGTTCTTTTATCTAGGAGGGCTGTATGGGGGGTTAATTTGGGTTGTATCGGAGGGAAAAAGCTGCATCAGAATACAGCTTTCCCCTCGATACGTCCTCTCCCTGAAAAAGAAACCACCACGCCTATCTATAATTAAGCAGACCTTAAAGCATATACGTAAAGTCGAGTGAAGTGAACGAGCTCTTTACGCATGCTTTACGATGTGTGTAAAGAAGGGATTTTGTGCAGTAAGGCTAGGCCAGCTTCTCAATAAAACGCTTCTACTGCCGCAGAGGAGCAATGAAGTTGGTTTACAGTAGCGCTATTATTAGACGCACTCAGAAGGTATCACGCCCGTCGTTTCCGCTGTCTGTACTTACCGTAAACTCCTGACGGCCACCTCAGGGTCATGGCCCCTCTCGTCCCGCCACGGAAATCCACCCAGCTGGCGGCGTTTCCACATTCCGTGAACGTACAGTCCTTCCAGATGTTATCTAACCGCGACTCGTTCAACATGTGGTCCCAGATGTTGAGATGACTGATGTCGCCCAGGAAGGTGGAGTTCTTGTTGAAGTCGTGCTCCATGTTTTTCTTCTTCTGGCCGAGGACGAGCTCTCCCGAAGATGGGATGGTCTGGTTGATGCCCAGGCCGCGGCCGGACTGTTTCTTCCCGTCCCAGTAGATCCACCATCTGCCGCCTGTGGCATTGAGGAAGAAGAAAAATACAGACTTGTTAAGCTAGCTATCACAAAACAACAAATAACTAGAGAATTAACATTTGCAAAGCAAATGCATAATGTTTACCTTCGGACATGGTCTGCTCTGTTAATTCTTACTCAAACACATTCACATACATGTACTACTAGGATATGATGACAGGAGCAGAGCAGACCATGAAATTGCAACATTATGTAACCCAACACCAGTCACCATGGTGACGGACGTCAACAAATCACGTCATTGGTCAGGTCAGAGGTCACTGTTTGGAGAAGAAGAAGAAGAAGAGGAAGAAACTGAGCAAAAACAATATGTTTCCCTTCGGTAAACATAATTAAAAAGGCGGTCAAATTTAAGAAATTTGCGGAAGATGAGGACTGTGTTATGTACATTCTGAGAAATTGTACAAAATTCATTTCTCTGCACAAAATCCATTCTTTCAGCGCACCTTAAAACATGCGCAAAGGTTCCGTCTATCCATTTATCTGTCTTTCTATCCATCTATCTATCTATCCATTTATCTATCTATCTATCCTTCTATCACGGCGCCCCATATCTATAATGATAAACGGTAGATTATAAGTCTGTGTTCATATTGATTTGAACCATATGATTTGCCACGCGAAACTGCCTGCGGCTTATGTTATTAACGTTAATGATGTGTGCATCTTATGGATGATGAAAGCGTTCAAGTAATCTGGATTCCAAAGGTTGTACATTTTTCTTATTACAAGTAAGCAACGAGTGGCGTGCCTGCATATGCTCGCGGAATAATGTTGGGATTTTTTCATTCAATTTTCTTACAAGCAACGATTTTTTAGCCGAATTAATACATGTAATAACGTTTGGAATGAAAGGCATGCTAACAGAATAATGTTGGAAATTTTTTTCATTCATTTATCCTACAAGGGAACAACGAAAGGTATGGTAGCAGAATAATGTTTGTAATCGTTTTATTCATTTTTGCTAACCCGCTTTAGCTTTAATGCTTGTGCTATCATTGTACCAAATACTCCTTTGTACTATACCCTAGCCTTTATCATGTTCAAATGACCAAAACACTAGGACATGTGACTTCAAGGACACGTGATTGGTCAGTAAACTAGGACACGTGACCTTACTGACTCGTGATTGGTCATTCCAACACGATGAAGGCTGTAGCATGGACAGCCTAAAATACGTTACACTTTTTTTTTGCTTTGGAGCCCAGTTTAGCTGTAACAGATCTAGATGGACTTTATTGATAATGTTCTTGTTATGTCGTTGAATTCTCTCAAATGTTAGATCCTGGTTGGCCCTGGTTGTCCTGGACCGATGTATCATGAGCACAGTTTCCGTGTGAATGCCACTCACGTTCTGTAAAGCCACGTCCAATTGGTCAGAGTCAGGCCAATCGATATTGTGGCGCGGCAGCTTTCGTACCCCTCGTAATTGCTTTTGCCTCCCATCGTCTTCGATAATTGATTTTTGTCTACAGTTCGATGAGGTAACCAGGAAAGGGGTCACGGCCGCTACCGGTGTGTAAAATTGGATGGCGCGGGTTATACTGGGTCGCGCTGTTGACGACATCGTGCTTTTCGGCTTGATTAAATTCTCCAGGATGGATTGCTACATCATTTGCTACGATCCACCCGACGTTGGTGATTGGTATTGCCTGATTAAACCGAGCAGCCAGATTGCCTTAATAACATTGGGAGTATCTCTTGCGTGGGCAGAAGAGCGTTTGCCTAATTGCACACAGCACTTGCTTTTCCCCATACGGACGGTTCCTAAATGCCGGAAGCACGGGTACTAGCAGCAAAACTACACAAGTAATAACTCACGTTATCATCACAATCACAAAGGTATTACCGTGTTAGATTCTAATAGTATCTCAATTTTCCTAAAAATAATTTTGTACTATGAGGACAAATGTACACAGATCTAGGTAAATGTACCATTCATTTTCAAACCCATTTCGTCAATGCTCAACGACACACCAATTGGATGAAAAGAGAAATCAGAAAGGCTTTTCCAAGTTAGATTCTAATAGAATCTCAATTTTCCAACAGATAATTTTATATCACATTTTCGGAGTGACATTCTAAAATCTGTTGAATCATTGCCCAAAGATGAAAATAAAAATCAGAAAAGTATGTTAAGTTCTAATAGAATCTCAATTTTCCAACAGATAATTTTGTATATATGTACTATGGGGACAAATGTACACAAATCTAGGTATATCTACCACTCAGAGCGACATTCTCAAAGCCTGTTTTATCATTGCTCAACGACACACCAATTGGTTATTGGATGAAAATAAAATAAAAAATAGAAAGACAATAAAATGTCAGGTTCTGATCATGATGATAGAATCTCATTATCAAAAGATATATTTTGTACCTTTGGGACAAATGTACGCAAATCTTGTAGGTAAGGGTTAAGTTGAGTGTTCTGCGATACTCTCAAATCTGTTTCGCTATTGCTTAACGATACGCCACTCGGTAATTACTGTTAATAGCCTCCTCAGCTGCGGGATGACTCCGTATTGAGTGTTGATTAAGACAGGTACCGGCGCGCAGCGGGGACACAGTAGATATGGATCTGTTGTATCGAGCCATTTTTCATCATACGCTGCGCTGAAAGGGGCGTTTGCTTCAACAATAGTGCTAAAGTGGGAGGCTGTTCTCATGGCATAATCCACTTACAGTGCGGCTATATTATTATGTTTACCGAAGGAAAACATATTGTTTTTGCTCAGTTTCTTCTTCTTCTCCAAACAGTGACCTCTGACCTGACCAATGACCTGATTTGTTGACATCTATCACCATGGTGACTGGTGTTGGGTTACATAATGTTGCAATTTCATGGTCTGCTCTGCTCCTGTCACCATATACTAGTATTGACTATATTGTTCTAATATGTCCGAAAGGTTGATATATCATAGATTTCTTTTCATATTTCGAATGATAATTCCTCCATCAATCTTAGTTTCAGTAAGTCAGAATATAATAGCACCTGTTCATGATGATTTGTGCAATTGTAGGACAAGATTTAAAAGCTTTTTTTTTTGGTATACCCATCTGTCTAAGTGGTGTCTTTATTATCACTAATGATTCAAAAGGGATCCGAGAATTTAACTGTGCATTATGTTTACCGAAGGAAAACATATTGTTTTTACTCAATTTCCTTTTCTCGAAACACTAACCTCTGACCTGGCCAATGACATGATTTGTTGACGTCTGTCACCATGGTGACTGGTGTTGGGTTACATAATGTTGCAAACTTCATGGTCGGCTCTGCTCCTGTCACCATATACTAGTAGTACATGTATGTGAATATGTTTGAGTAAAAATTAATAGGGCAGACCATGCATATGTCCGAAGGTAAACATTATGCATTTGCTTTGCAAATGTTACTCCTCTAGTTTTAATTTTGTGTCTCACGTTACCATTGGCTGCAGAGATATGGTCTCTCGTCACTTTGCGACTTTCATCAGCTGATGACCTGCCTCTACGGAATGACGTGAGCAACGGGTCAAAGGTTACATACCAACTGACGTTTTCTACACGCAATTAAGGAGGTTCACAATTAAGACTGCGCATGTATAGTGTGATGCATTGTGGGTAACATGTACAAGGTGAAGTTCCCCTTGACGTAAAACAAACACGTCTGGACTTGTATAATGCATGACGTCTTTTGTTTACATGTAGGCCATGATACCCTTGACACTGGGCATGTCAAAAGGCAATGTTACTTCCCGCACCTATATATGGTGCATAGGGCTGCACCCATATCCGTTTCTGTAGCCCTTGGACCACACAGTTGTACAATCACTACAGCAGGGGCTAGTTCACTAGTAGTGGTGCGTGTTTTACTGTGTTTGACTCCGGTCCCATACTCCCAAATGCTAGGTACTCATCAGACAAAGTAGTATGTACCTGTTTTAAACTCTTTGGTATATCTGGGTCTGGAATCAAACTCGCGACCTACTGAACACAAGGCAGACACTCTACATACTTCGCTATTGCACCTGTCATTGGGCATGCGCAGCCTGAATTGTGAACGTCCTTATAATCAGCTGATCTCTTACCTCTACCGCTCCATATGAAAGCAATCCGGTGCCACTGTTTCTCCTCCAGGCCTTTCGAAGTCTCCACGTGCTTGCCGAGCATGTACAGCCTCAGAGATCGCTTCACGTCCAGCCGGAAGACGTTCTTGAGCCCCACCCGGTAGGACAGGATCGTCCTCCGCTTGTTGGTGTCGTACGGCCTGAGCCACAGCGTGATGGTGAACTCCTTACACTCCGGGAACGCCCGGCCGAACAGCTCCGTGTAGCGGATAGGCTCCAGCTCACGGAACTCCAGTCGGGAGTCGTACGCATTGCCTGGAAAATTGTACCGAAAATAGTTATGCCTTCAAGAGTCATCAGCCAAGGATTGACGTGTTCAAGAACTCGTTTTTTCTCCTAGAACTATTCTAGAGTGAAGCCTCCTAGAGCTATTCTAGAGTGAAGCCTCCTAGAACTATTCTAGAGTGAAGCCTCCTAGAGCTATTCTAGAGTGAAGCCTCCTAGAACTATTCTAGAGTGAAGCCTCCTAGAACTAGAGTGAAGCCTCCTAGAACTATTCTAGAGTGAAGCCTCCTAGAACTAGAGTGAAGCCTCCTAGAACTATTCTAGAGTGAAGCCTCCTAGAACTATTCTAGAGTGGAGCTCGCTGCCACCGAGAACAGTGTACTTTAGTAGTTTGGTTGCCAAACCAATTTTTGCTTTCGTCCTTTCCGCAGACTATAAGCTAACTATGCACAAAATTCAGCTTTTCCCTAACTCACGCATACCTTTACGTATTCTTGAAGGGGTATTGAAGTCCGGACAGAAGGGAGTGCTATTTTCCGACAGACATTAATTTTTGGAAGTGAAAACCCTTCTGGACTTCAGTACTCCTCTAAGAATACGTAAAAGTATGCGCGAGTTGGTGAACTCCTTACTGGAGGAACGATGAAGGAAAGACTGAATTTTGTGCATCGTTTTGTGCAACTTGAGATAGGATTTCGTACAGTGAAGTTTAACTTTGACAGCAACAACTTCCGAAACAGTATCAATCTATATTTCATGACTGCATGCCGTAATGAATTTCGTTCTAAAAAGGACCCCGTAACATCGCCGTCCTTTTGGCGTGCAGCTTCACTAGTTTTAAGAGCCGGGATGACCTTCTCCGGAGACCTTACCTGTAGGCCCGGAGTGCAAGACTGAAGATTTATAGCCTTGTAAACATGACACCGTGAAGATAGAGGTCACCGCCAGAAAATGTCAACCATCGTCTAACCTTCACGATGAATACATCATCAAGTTCGCCCAGAAATATATCTTCTAGGCCACAGCAAGTAATTTATATGGATGACGTTCGCGCGCAGTAATTTTAACCTGACTTCGAAAAGAAAAAAAGGAAATTTTTCTGACCTCCAACGTTCAACATGCCAACAAACAAACAAACAAAAACAGATATTGTATGTCGTAAACATCCATCGTATAGGCGAATATAGCCTCCCGAACACTACCGAACTCCCCCCAACCATGGGTAGGAGTAGGTCGGGACCAAAGTCGGCAGTACGTGGTTAGCTGGTCATTTTTTTTTATTATTCATCAAAACATAAAATAACTAAGAAGGACAGTGTGACGCTGCACTCAAGTTTATGACTTATATTTCGGCTTCTGTTCGGCTAGTCGAATGTTTTAAAATGTTTAAAACATCAGCGTGTGGACGGGAGGTTCGACCATTGTTGGCTGGTGGTTGGCTTGTGCTCGGCAGTGTTCGTGGCGTGTTCTGGGGTCAGATTTGACTCAAATTTACCTCAAAGTCGATTCGATTCGGAAGGGTGGCGTAGCCTAAATCTGGTTTGACTGCACATGCTCCCCCCCCCCCCAATCCCGAACTTCAGCTAATGCTGAGGTCACATTTCCAAACCGGGGCCCGGCCGGGCAGTCTTATGGAACGAAAAATATTATATGTTATATGATATAAAAGACAATACAGCACCCAAAAAAACTGAAAAAATCAATATTGGGAACTATTTGCGTATATCATTGATATACATTGCTGATTTGTCGTTAATCGTAACAGCCCGACCGGGCCCCGGTTTGGAAATGTGACCTCAGCATAATCTTCAAGTTGGCTGCTTTGTGGTAGAGGCAATGTTCTGAATGTGTGACAGGGACTTTAGATAAGACAGCGCCGTACCTATGCATGTTCTGCCGTTCCACTCGAAGCCGCCCCCGCAATGACAGAAATACCCGTCCGGCCTATTCAGGCACACCGGAGATTTGTGGTAGTTCGCCCGACACTTGTGTCTGTACTTCTCTTTCTCTGTCAGTAAACAAAGGGAAAAGGAACATCGTTAATGCAGGGTTTAGGTGAAAATAATATTGAAAATCACATGCACAATCTCGAATCATTCCATGACAAAGACTGGAGTTGGTCCAATTCTTTTTGTTGGAAATTACAGTTTAAACTGACTTCATAAAGTCACACATATTGGCTTGTTTTTTTACAAAATTTTGCTAGTTAATCAGATTGGTTTGCTTACGAAAATCCTTATGACTAATTATTCGTAATGCGTGTCTTCATGTTCTTAAAATTATGATTTTGTTAATAATAATCAAGTTATGTACGTTTGATTGCCTTTCTTTTTGGTTTCATTTGCTACTGCTATTTCCATATGGTATTCGCTTCTGCTAAAAAAATTCTGACAAGTACTTCTGTTTGTTTGTTTGTTTGTTTGTTTGTTTGTTTGTTTGTTTGTTTGTTTGTTTGTTCTCGTTCGACACTTATCAACATTTTTCTTTATTATCGCTAAACAATGTCACGATACTTCAGTACTCTTGTTATAAAACGGAAAGACGCACAGTACCTTTATTAGCATGTGCCTGGTGTAGAAAAGAGAATAGAACAACCATCATCACTATCCTCCACATCATAGCAGTCCTCTAGCTGTGTCCTTACAGTGCAAGCCTGTAGCGAAAGAAAAAATAATCATTTTATGTTTACCATTTTATGTTCTTCGTAGAAGGAAAACGTATTGTTTTTGCTCCATTTCTTCTTCTTCCTCTTCTTCTTCTCCAAACAAATAAGGTCAATGACCTGGACCAGAGGGCTGTCACCACTCAGGTACTACAGGTAACATGCTGTAGCAGGCACCCTGTGGTGTTGGATTACATTATGTAGCAAGTAGCAGGACAAATTGGATGGACTCCTGTCACCATATATATGAGAATGGGTTTGAGTAAGAATAAAGAGAGCCGTAGTTTGTTAGGCTAGACTATGTATATGCGAATGTAAACATAATGCATTTCCTTTTGCAAATGTTACCTCTCTAGTTTTTTTTCAGTTTCGAGTTTCAGTTGTGAAATCCGTCTATGGTGAAGCATAACCATGCCTTCATGATGGTTTACGTCCTATTTATTAATGACATGGTTTGATACATATTATAAAGCATACTGCAAGTTTCTTTTGAAGATTTGACAAGGAAAATATTATACATCCTTATGCAAGACATCGTTTATGGTTTAATTGCTTTATCTTGTTCTGAAGACTACAATTTACTTTCGCTGTCACAATTTCCACCCCTGCTCGTAGCGGTTACGCTAAATTACATCTTGATACGTTGCTATATGATGATATATTGCTTGGATATATGTGGTATATAGCTTTCTGCCAAGAAGATCCACGATAAAATCGCATCTCAAAACCCAAAAACGTACACGGGTGGTATCAAAGCTCTTCACTGTCAAGGACATAGGAACAACATGAAATATATATACTGTCAACTTGTGATAGCAGCACACTTTTCTTGTAGGATAGAAACGCCTGAGGTGTTATAGGCGGTTTGGAGAGCCACGGTCTTTTATTATTTATGAAGAGGAAGATTTAATATTAGCGTGAAGTGTTGTTGAATCCTGCTCAACGGGGCAACATTGGGGTAGTGGGGGTGATTGGGCGACGGTCTTTGGCGTATCTTCTATGCCGTACGTTTAGACAGTGATGTTAAACATACATCATGTAGGCGAACACTGCCAAACTCCCCCAACCATGGTTAACAGTAGGCCTAGGTCGGGAGCAAGGTCGGCTGTGGTTGGCTGGTGTTCGGCGAGGTCGGCCGCTGTTCGGCTGCCCTGTCGGCTGTCGAATGTCTAAAAAACGTTTGAAACATCCGGGTGTGGACGGAAGGTTGGCTGGTGGTTGGCTGGAGTTCGGGACTAGGTCGGCAGTGGTCGGAGCGTTGTTGGACTCAAATTTAACGCAAACCTGACTCGATTCTTATAGAAAGGTAGGCGTGGCCTAGATCTACTCAGACTGCTCCCAAACTTCAACCTTGTTGGTTGGTGGTCGGGGTAAGGTTCTGAATGTGTAACAGAGGCTTTATGTTCAGAAATGGTTGGCTTGTTCAAGCTATTGGGCGTATGGTACTTATTTCTATATCATTGCCAAAGGCTATTCTTTTATGAGGCGTATATATTATGATTTCTTACTGCCTGGAGGACCAAAGGGTACATGATATGAATACACAAGTACAAGGAGGGACGGAAGAAATCACTAAGTCATCTCCGATGGTGTGGAGTATTCTGAGCACGTGGTTTACGTAACCCCTGGTCGGCGCGAACGATAGATGGTAGCGACAAATGTCAGGGACGCCCGGGGTCCGGGACTGTGTATGGACTGTAGATGGCGCTATGTGCGTACGATATATTGTAGATGGTACCATGTAGGTACAGTAGGTGGTAGATGGTACTATGTGTAAGTAAGATGGTAGATGGTACTACGTGTGTGCGATGGATGGTAGATGGCACTTTTATGTGGACGAGAGATGGTACTATATGTGCACGATAGATGGTAGATGACACGAAATGCACTATCTGTGTGCAATATATGGTACTACTAGTATGTGTGTACGATATATGGTACTATATGTGTGCGATAGGTGGTAGATGGCACTACGTGTGTACGATAGATGGTAGATCATACTATTTGTGTACCATAGATGGCAGACGGTACTATGTGTGCAATAGATGGTAGATGGTACTATGTGTGTACCATAGATGGTAGATGACCTATGTGTACGATAGATAGTACTATGTGTACGGTAGATGGTACTATGTGACACTGTACGATAGATACGGTAGATGGCTACTAAAAACCCGATTTAAAAAGAAAATCAAAGCTGGCTTAAAGCAGATGTTTATCTGCTTCGATCGATCCTTTTCATCGAGTCCTCTTCTATGGACCAACTCCATCCCGCTTGGAAAATATGACAGAGGACGACAGATCAGGGATTGATCATTTTCTAAAGCACAGCCTGGTCATAAAAACCTGCCTATCTCTGGGCGCAATACTGCAGCATCATCTGTCTCCAGTAAAGTCAGCTATCCGTATTGACATTTACAAGCGCATCTTCATGCTCCACGGGCAAAATTCTCATTGATCGCAAGATATAAAAAGAAGACTTCCTGACTGTAAAGTGGTTTATAGGAACGATGATTCACTATTGTGTATACTGTATTGATCTTCGCAAACTCGTGCCTTGCATTAATTCTTTCATCTATATTTCTTTATTACTTTGTTACTTATAAGATGATAAAGCATTTATTAAATCAATTTCTTACTCTACGGGAAGGAAGCATGTCTCTTTTCTAATCTTAAATGCGCTCAGGAAATTGGGTATTCTATCACAATCTAAAACGCATGAGTTGTCAGTGTAAAGACTGATATTTAATTGAAATATACTCGCAATAGAGATTACCTCTGGGCCAATGGTGCAAGCCTTCTTCCGTTAGCTGATTAACATTAACAGTTTACAACTTTAGTGACGTTATAACTTAACATCACTTTCACGAAATAACAATTAAGTATTCAGTTATGTGTCTGTCCGATTTGATGACAATTTCTACTTATACTACCGTGGCTTTTTTAATCTATTTATCTATTCACATATATTTATTGAGTATTAGGTAAAAAGCACAGATTGCTTATGTGAAGCCTTCTACTCAAGAACATAAAACGAGAGTAAGCACAATGACAAAATACATACATAATTACAAAGTCGGTAAAAGAAAATGAGTATGAACAAGACAACTTGGTGATCTATAAATTACGAGAATCTACCTGTACAGTGAATAAAGTTTTGAACTACGTCAAAGACACTACAGTTTTGTGAATGTAAAAGTGATCTGGATCCTTGTAGCGGTAAGGAACATAAAGAACTGTCATTGAGATGCTGTAGCTCTACTGTGTTGGAAAGACATGATAACACAGTACTTCTTTGTCTAGTATAAAGTTTACAGTGTAGAAGGTAGTGTTCGGTTGTTTCACTATGATAGCCGCATTTACATATAGGGCTTTTTGTTAACGTTGATAGTGATACTAAATGTTTGTAGTACAACCAATTAACGATAATCTGTACAGGCCTGTACAACCCGCTTTAAGCATCAAGTTGGCATAGACAAGGTTGCACAACCAACATTAACAGTAAACTGTACTAGTTGGTACAACCAACGTCAACAGTAAACTGTACTAGTTGGTACAACCAACGTTAACAGTAAACTGTACTAGTTGGTACAACCAACGTTAACAGTAAACTGTACTAGTTGGTACAACCAACGTTAACAGTAAACTGTACTAGTTGGTACAACCAACGTTAACAGTAAACTGTACTAGTTGGTACAACCAACGTTAACAGTAAACTGTACTAGTTGGTACAACCAACGTTAACAATTAAGTGTACTGATAGGTACGACCAACTTTAACAACCTAGTTGGTACAACCAACGTTAAAAATTAATTGTACTCATCGGTACAACCAACTTTAACAATCTAGTTGTCACAACCAAGGTTGCACAACCAACGTTACCAACGAGCTAGTCGTCAACAGTAAAGTATACCGACTGTAAAGAAAAAGTACGTAAAACAACCAACTAGCTATTGGAATATACCGACCCGGATCGGTCTATATAAAGCCTGTGGCTGTTTGGGGACCTGGTTTGACCTGTATTCCACATCTGGGGAACATGGCTGGAGATATTGGATCTTACCGCAGGGGACTGTGGGAATAATGTGGTTACTTATTACCATATATGGCATATCAGACCACCTCGGTGACTTCTGCAAATCAGGCATCGAAATCTTAACAATTTTGATGCTTGTGATAGTAAGATTTGTATTACTAACATATGACTGAATGTGCTAAAGCTATGTCATTCTTTTATTTGCCCTCTCATGGCAGCTACTGTACACCAAACGTCGTAATCTATTTCAATGAGAATCAACAGTGGAGCACCCAAATCTATTTCAGGGCAGATAACTGAATTTTGAAACTCAATTTTCTGGTCATTTTATTAACGTAGTAAGTTGGAGCGACCCTATCCCATAACATACTGATATCTGTGAGGCAAAAAAATGCGACGTAACTGACGGAAAACGGTTGCTTGTTTTCGTATCGTAGACTGGCTCTTGCTATCTACTTTCTTGGTGGTACCCAAAAAAACATGAACGTCTCTAGTAGCGTATAATTGGGCTATTCTAAACTCTTCAAGTATGAAATTATGACGAAATTGTGCAAAAAAACGGTAATAAATGCCAATATTGGACAGATTTCATTATCCAGAATATGTTTCGTTTTGTCGCCCTGAAAGTTGCATCGGATGCCTACAAAACAATTGAGGATAAAACGATCGTTAGCAATAATGAAGAGCATTGATGACCACGATTGGTCTCTTGCCACGTCTGTGTGTTGAGCGTACGTAGTAGGAGGTAAATCCGGCTCCCCGGTTGTCATTACTCTTGTAGTAAATTTCCCAGGCGGTATAACAGTGTGATTGATGTGGGTGTAAGCCAGGAGGAGTATATTGTTGTTGTGATTGTCGGGAATGCCAGGCTAATCATAATTCGCTATAGGAAGACACTGGGTCTACCCTGGGACTAGCGCAGACAAGCTAAGGCGTCTGATTACGTTCGCGTCAACTCGCTGTGATTGCAGCTGGGAAGACTTGAACACCCAGTTCACCTAGTGACAGCACGTGAATAGATGCGTGACTGTGCTGGCATGTTTCTACACAGACGACTTTTTGGCACAATCAAGGGAGAAACGCCCACGCACGGGTTATACTATCTTTCTTATATTAAATCCTAGATAAGAAAGAAGAAGGAGAACTTTTTCTGCACGTATGCAGACTTGTACATAAACGGATTAACTAACGCCATTGACTAACATTTTTAAGAGACTAGTATACTGTGAAGACACTCTGATTATACTAGATACGAATCAAGATACGAGTCAGACACACACACACATACTTCACTCACGCACAAATACACACAATCACACACACACACACACACACAATCACGCACACTCACACACACACACACATTCACACACAAACACTCTCACACACACAATCACACAATCACACTCACACACACACACACACACACACATTCACACACAAACGCTCTCACACACACACATTCACACACTCACACACACACACACACACACTTCCACACTCGCACACACACACACAATCACACAATCACACACACACAATCACACAATCACACACACACACACACACACATTCTCACACTCACACTCACACACTCACACACACACACACACACTTCCACATTCACACACACACTTCACACACACACAAACGCACACACACGCACACAAACACACCCACAAACACATGTAAAATTATGTAGGTGAAGATTGGTACAGACATCTTAGTACTCTGTCTGTGTCAGTAAAATGGTTGCAACACATAATACTTTATTCATATCACTAGGCGCCATCGTGAGTCGAGTCGAAAGTTTGTCTATGTTACCGCCCGCTTTACTGTTAGTGTCAATCGTGCTAGAAATGTGTTCTACATCCACAAATCAACGTTTAGATCTCTCGTTCTACAAGCTTTGCACTGATCTTAGAACTGACATGCTAACGTTATTTGGTACGTGTAAAAGATGTGTACATTAGGAGCAGAATATTCCATTCCAGGAGGCAGATACGCAAGAGATCTAGACCGTTCTGTATTCCATTGCGAACGCCGGTCCTCTTAATTTGTAGTGCAATCACAACACTGTTCCCCGCCTGCAATCACACTCCTATGGGCAGCGATCAGGCGCGCAGTGCAGCATTAAACACACGCTGCTGTCTCTAATACAAAACACGCTGTTGTGCAGAATATGTAGGAGTGCAGTATGATAAAAGTGTGGTGCAAACATCTAGGAGTGCAAAACAAATCACGTTCTAATGCAGAACATCTTGGTGTGCAATGTAAAGTATGTTATGAAGCAGAATGTGTCCAATATAAGGCACACTGACTGCATGCAAAAATATGGAGAACATATGCGAGTGCAGTATGAAACAAGCTGTGGTGCATAACACTTAGGAGCGCAATACAGAACATGCAGCGATGCAGAACAGCTAGGGCTATGAAGCACGCACTTCGGAACATCTAGGTGTGCGCTGTTGTGCAGAATGGTAGTGCAGTATAAAACACGTTGTAGTGCAGAGTAGGAGTGCAATATGTAACGCTGTAGAGCACAACATTTTGGGGTGCAATACGAAACACGCCATGATGCACTTCGGAACATCTAGATGTGTAATGTAAAACACGCTGTTCTGCAGAATAGCAGTGCAGTATAAAACACGTTGTATTGCAGAATAGGAGTGCAATACATAACACGCTGTAGTGCACAACATCTTAAAGTGCAATACGAAACACGTCGTAATGCATATTTAGGTGTGCAATATTAAACAATTGAAGCATATATATAAAAATGCGTTGTGCAATACAAATCGTGATGTGTGCGACAAAAACAAGTTATTGTGCAGAATAGTAGTATATACACATGTATAGTATTTCCACATAAACACTCTGCGTGCGATGTAGAACATCTAGGAATGCATAAAAAAACACCAGGATTACAATTTACAACCACTTCCCAATACAAACCGTCCGATCCTAGATACACTAAATCCCACAACATGTTAGGGTCAGCCGGTAATAAAGGAATACGACAACATTACGCCTAGATTAAAGAAGACAGAAGACTAATGGCACATAAACCGCATCTCACTCCCTGTGGGACCAGCGTGCAATAATGTTTCTCTCTTCGGGGCTCCTGTATGGTTGGCTTGTGCTGGGAGAGTTTTTAATTTGGTGGATGTAGAAAGCAGCGTGCAGCGGCTCCCCCCAATGGTTATTGCATGAATAGAGATGATAATAAGGGGTTGGAGTTCGCCCTGTTCCCATTGAAAACAAGCCCCGTGCACTGCAGATCGATAGAGGAGCTAGACATGCCTGGCGTTACATTCATGGCAGCCGGCATGTGGGGCTGAGGTAGGGACCCTTCTGCTTGAATAGTAACTGAAAGGATCACACGTTAGCTTCAGCGCGTTACGATGCCCCGTGCCCTCTGCGTATGCACATACATCTACACATACATGCATCTTTGACAGGATTTTCAGCTCCAGCGATCTACGTGGGACGAATTTGTCAGCTTATAAGTGTTCGAAATGGCCTTTTGGCCCCATTCTCGGTAAAATGCAATGCATACGCAAACGCATTTCATCGCAGCAAATTGTTAGGTGTCACCGTATATTCTACTCGGAATTGCCGGGCGTCTCAATAAAGTAGTGGCGCCGATCTCGTCTTATGATGCGATTCGAGGACAGAATTTTATGAGGCCAGTGACGGAATGAAAAGATAAAATGTTAAAGCATTACACAAGTCATATAGTCAACGTAGGCAATACAGAAATAACGGCATTGCCTTCTGTGGAAAAGATTATTTGTAAGACAAATACTAAATCTTAGCTACAATACATCATGTGCATTTTTGTATTAGGATATTCTACAATAGACGTAGCTGGGACTAAAAAAAATCCAACATCCGAAGAACTGTGTTCCACCGGCCCAGACAATTACTTGGGCCATGACAGGTCATGCGATTTGAATACATGTTATTCCGTAGGCTGAGTTTCCGTGGGGAAAATAGGCATCACAAAAACCATCGTTATAACTCAAACGTATACAAAACCTCCCACCAGATATCCCTTCTTTCCATTGTTACGGTAGCACCTCTTTAGGTATTCGTTTCTTTTGGGAACAAATCAGAGATATTCACGTATCGAAGGAGACACCTTAGGGCATCGGCAGATAAAAGACTTGATAATGAATTCTAATGATAATGATTCTTGTCGTAAATGTTCAGCGTATAGGCTGCTGATGACATAAGGCGTAGATGCCCAAACAACTATATACTGATACAAACGCCTGTCTGGTCCCCTGTTGTACACATCTGGCGCAGAAAAAAAATCTTTAATACATGCATACAGAATCACACCCCAGGTCCCACTAGCCCGTACGGTAGTCTCATGTTTATACCACGTTCACAGCCCGACGACTGTAATGTTTACAACGGACGAATCTTTATCTGACGATTTCTCGTAGCAAGACTTTTATGTGAACACAGTCGACGGATATAAAAATCGTCTGAAACGGTCCATGCAACAACAACAACAGCACGAAATCTCTGCTTAAAATATCCACGTTCATATCAACCCTTACATGTGCCTTCACCACTATGTAAAAGGAAAGATTCATGTATTTTCAGAGTACCATGGCTTGAGAGAGAGAGGAGGATAGAAGGATGCCTACATACCTACGAGCAGAGACGTTGGCAAGAAACATGGTGGACACGTACCGTGCTGGTATAGATCCCCATAACCTGTCGCCACGATTGCCAGCAGCAAAATACTCCCGATCTCTCTTTCCAATTATATACAGGGCAATGCGTACTTCATGAATAATTTTTCAGCGGATTAACCATCCATGGCTTTTCAATATGTCTTCCCCCATTCAATTATACCTAGTACTCACTGCAGCACAAGCTTCCATGCTGGTATATAACGCGCATCTTTATTGATTACTATTTGTTACCCGCGTTTCTATTTTTAACTTTTATGTGAATCGTACGTAGCGTTATTTTTTTACGTCAGAACAACACGCTGACGTAACTGGAATGCGAGCTGATTCCGATGTATAGAAGTAGAAATTCTTGCAGATTACGAATATTCTTTGCTCATAGACTAATCAATACCTATTCGGAAGGGAGGCTTATATTAAGGATTAGGAGGACAATTCGCTGTTATGTTGTCAATGCTGGGCGTAATGTCATTGAATTGGTTGAATGGATGGATGGCCTCACATCTGAGGCAGTGTAAATGGATAAATGCTGGCAGGCACACATCTATTCACAGAAAGTGTCCGTGTCCTACATACAGATTTAAAACATCATTCTGCCGTCTTTTTGTGTTTTCCCCCCCGGGGGGGGGGGGGGTCATACACTCTTTGACAAGTGTATAGAAGGAACCCATTTTGGTAATAATATTTGGCTTCCATATTAATGATATTTTTATTTATATGTCTTTATTCCGTCGTCACGTGAACCCCCGCGGGAGTCCCACCGTGGAAAATGGTAATTCTGCACCACGACGTAAACCTCAGGCTGGCAGCGGCGATAAAACTGCTTACAAGCGTGTCGGGATTCGAGCGTTACGCCGAGGCGACTACCAGAACTGTAGTGTGAAACTCATGATAGCTAGTTTTAGGGAAAGACTATAGATAATACAGTATGGACTGGCCTTGTGTTAGAGGTGTCATACCGGGTATACAATACAGGTAGGAAAGCCATAAAAGTTAGTTCATTTTCCTGAATTATTTAAAGTGTTATACAAGCTGGTATGTTACTTATGATAGCTAGTTCTAGGGAATAACTATAGATAAAACAGTATGGACTGGCCCTGTAAAGTTTTTGACTTGTTATACCGGGTATACAATACAGGTACAACCTAGCGAAGCCATAAAATATAGTTCATTTTCCCGACGAAAGCGTTATGCAAGCTGGTATGTTACTCATGATCTAGATCTATGGAATAACTATAAATGAAAATATGAACTGGTCCTATGAATTTTTTTTTGTGTTAGAGGTGTCATACCGAATATACAATACAGGTACCACCTAGCGAAGCCATAAAATATAGTTCATTAACCTGACGAAAGCGTTATGCAAGCTGGTATGTTACCCATGATAGCTAGTTCTAGGGTATAACTATAGATAAAGCAGTAAGGATGGCGCCGCGTGCCTGTGAAGCTTTGTGTTACACCAAAGAGCTGTTTTACGAACTATACAATACAGGGACCACCTAGCGAAGCCGTAAATGTAGTTCATTTTCCTGAAGAAAGTGTCACTCAAGTCGGTACATGTATGTTACACAATGCGTATCTGCATTTGGCTGTCTGCCATGACTGCCTTTACACACCATTTTTGTAAGCACGCGGCTACAAGATTTTCTCTAGATACCAGCCATACAATTCAGGTACCACCTAGTGAAGCTATAAAATTTAGTTCATTTTCGTTTAGAAAGTGTTACGCAAGCTGCATGATATTTTACACAGTCTGTATCTGTACTGGCTATCTGCCATGACTGCATTAATGTTTTATTACTGTAATTGTGTAAGCACGCGGCTGGCAGACTAAACCCTGCATATATAACGCCAAGCTAACATCATGGCATGTTCATTAGAAAATGACTGCAGTTCCGGATGGGGTCACTAGGGGACATTCATAAAAATATATATCATAAAAACCCTTATCTGAAGTTCTGCTAAAACATACCATCAAACCAGCCAAATAACCAGCCAAATAACCAACCAACCAACCAACCAACCGACCATCCAACCGACCGACCGACCGACCGACCGACCAATCCAACCAACCAACCAACCAACCAACCAACCATCCGACCGACCGACCGACCGACCGACCGACCGACCGACCAACCAACCAACCAACCAACCAACCATCCGACCGACCGACCGACCGACCGTTGTTGTATTTAGATGCCTGCAATATATAAGTGTATAAGTGTTTTTGTTTAGGGAAGGGTATGGAGTGAAATTCCTACATTTGCTCCGAAGCAAATGTTGGCCTTTCTAGTTATTATGTGCCTTTGTTGTAGTGTTGTAATGTGAAACATGAGCAGTGATATGTATGTACATGTAGTATGAAATGTTCTAGCCAGCGTAGCTTGAGTGTAAGGGGCCCCATGTTCTGTGAGTAGGACGCTCCTATTATGCTGAAATTTGGGCCTTTCTTTTAACCAGCAAAGGTAGTGTTTCTGTCTAATTCTGGGAAGAACCCGGTGGGAGGCCTGGAAGCTGTGATTTATAAAGACTAAAAGTATGTAAAGAGGCTGTCCCTGGTGCTAATCTGCTGACTGTTGTGTAACTGTGCTATAATGACTGACCCTTGGTTTCTTTGAGTTAATAATAAGTCAGTGACTGTCCTTAGTGCTGAACAATCAACTGTTGTGTAACAGAACTGCTGACAACATGTCAGTAGGCAAGTGGACTGAAGCACAACACTTAAAAGCATCCTAAACATTTTTTAAAAGCAAGAACAAGACTCGTTAAGAACATGTGCTGCCCGCAAAAAAACTTTCCAGCTAATTACCCACCTATCCTTCCACTAAATCAGACAGAGCATCCAACAGAAACAAATGACCTGACCAGCACAGAACTGCATGAGATTGTGAGAAGACAGAGCTTCAGACAGTTCAGATCAGATACCATCAGACATTTGATCCACTCCCAACAGATCTCCTTTCCCGGCATGATATTGATCCTCCCGAAGCTGCTAACGATTAGCCAACCTCAGCGAAACCCGATCCCATCTCTGGGCCTCGGTTAATTCTTCAAGAAGTCTTGGGAGAGACTCCAGTCAAGGTGAGGTGTCTTTAATGGACTCTTCACTGGCGGCAAACACCTGATCTTCTGGAGTATTGAGGTCAGAGGTCTGGGCTGAGCTAAAGCAACTGTGGTTAGGCCACACCAATTTAATTTGTTGTTTTGTTTTTTATTTATTTAAGAAATTCAATGTTTACTATGCAAAATGAATAAAAAAATTGTTGTTACTTGGAATACAAAGTTGTTTTAATGGACTCTTGACACCTGATCTTTGGGAGCATTGGGGTTAGAGGACAAGCACAGGCAGGGAAGTCAGGGCTGTGCTAAAACAACAGGCCACACCAATTTAATTTGTTGCTTCTTAGCAGGGCTCTAGCCACTCGTTTTTCCATCAGTTGGAGAAACTTTGCAACGTGCAACGGAAAAGTTTTAAACCAATCCGTCAACCTTGATAGACATGATTGATAAAAATCTTGGGTAAAAATATAAAAACATCCACAGGACCTCCAACTACCACTATCAACCCCATGATTTGCCTCTCAAAATTTCTGAAAAGCATTTTTAAAAGATCTGAAAATTTGCCCCCAGACCCCCCTAGATTGCGAGCCCTCTCCCCCAGGTCCTAACATGAACCTGGGCTGATGGAAAAAAAATTGAGCTGGCCTGAGCATTGTGACATTTCTAAGCTTTTCAGACTATTTTCAGACGTCAATTGAAATCGATGAAACCTTCACCTCCAAAGTTAACCCTTAATCCTGAGCTGTCCTCGGCCGACCTTTAAAATCCCACAGGATGAGGGTCAAATTCACACCTTAAAGATCTGCAGATCCTCTGAGGAGATGAGATATCGGACTTAAGGAGATCAATGCAGGCTCAAGGTCACCTCAAGGTCAAGCTGCGCTGAACCGGCGTAATTGGGGGCATCGACTTTGGGAGGGGGGACGTTACGCCTGTCCAAATATGTTTACAGAGAAGTCAACTGGTGAAACTGAAGTTTATTCACAAATTGATCCACAAAAATCCTTCAAACAAAGCCCAAAATGTTGACTGTATTTTTTTCTTTAACAATTATCGGGGCTCTATGTGAGGGTGGGTGTATGGACTTTGGGAGGGGGACGTTACGCCTGTCCAAATATGTTTACTGAGAAGTCAAGTGGTCAAACTGAAGTTTATTCACAAATTGATCCACAAAAATCCTTCAAACAAAGCCCAAAATGTTGACTGTATTTTTTCTTTAACAATTATCGGGGCTC